AAAATATAGTTCGTTGGCGTTGACAAACAGTGGGCACATTTATATAAATTTTCCTATCCTATACCCATGCCTCAAAAAAAAAAAAAAAAAAAAATCAATTTACACACGTGACAATTTTATCTTAAAATACAGCCTTATTTATTTTCCTCTACTGTGCGTGAACAAAGATGTGTTAAGATTTTCCTTCAAACATGAACATATATGTTTTTGCTTTTACTTTGCGAAAAGTAAGGTCGGTGTCCGGTGTATATTTATTATGAGACTAATAACATTTCTATTTTTTTTAAAACCACTCAAAGTTGTTACAGACATGAAAAATGTTAAAGATATTCTTCTTAAAGATAAAATAATTCTTTGTTTTACGATTTTCTGAAAATTTAGTAGAAAAACAAGGAAAACGTTTGATTACATTTTTTAATGAGGATGGCAATTTATTAAATTTCGTTAATATAAATGTATTTAAAATGGTATATAGGTTTTTTGTTGTAAATTATTGGTCATGTTTTTTAAAAAAAATTTTGGAGAGAAAAAGGGGTAGGGAAGGCAGATATATAACAGATACATATTTCTCAAAACTTAATGTTAGAAATGTAAACATCATTAGATATATAGGGCCTACTTCGTTTGTTTGTTTTTTTTAAAAGGAACTGTAACGAGTTTTCGCAATAACAGTAGCAATCATACAATTTTGTCTCTTGTCTTGCAGTGAAAATTTGTGATTTGGATGAAGAAGCTCAAACAACACGGACCTATTTGGAGAGAGAGAAGCAGAAGTGTGCAGACCTTGAGGTAGGAACTGATAGTGAAAGCACATCATGGGTGATTTGACTATAAAAATACACAAAATTAGTATTATAGTATGAATTAGTTATTTTAATACAAAATTGGTGATGTGTTAAAATTAAAACTTGAAATTATGACATTGGTGATATAATATAGATTGCTAACACAACATTGTTGATCAAATTTAGATTATGTAAGGTTGGCTCAACTATGGTGTTATAATATAGATTATAGATATATCATTTAAGCATGTTTGGGAAATTATCTTTTATTTAAAAAAATTTCAATAGAGCCTTTGCAAAAACTGTGATTAAATTCACACATGCCTAGGATAGATTTATTAAAATTTTTGGAACACTTGAATTTGTGAAGTAAATTTATGCCATTAATGCATTAGTTCCGCTCCTAGCTATATGTGATAAAGAAGCAATAACACATTCATTTTGTGATTATAAAAAAAAACACTTTGTTTACAAACTCATGAGTGCATCAGATGATCTAGCAGGCATAAACTCATACAACTAAATTTGATCTAATACATTTGTGATTCTCAGGAAAACCTTTATAGCAGCACTCTGGCCAGACAGTTGGACCTTCAAGATATCTGGAGACTTGTACAGAAAGATGTAGAAACTGAATGTCAAGACCAACAGGTAAAAAGATGCATTCTTAAAAACTGAAGACTCTTGACAAAGATCACGTTATAACTTGACAGTGTAGATTATAATTAGATCAATAGGCTACTTAACTAGACAATTAGTATAAGTCTCTGCAATCTTTTGGTAATTTTGTGAGAAAAGATTTTCTAATTCATTGAAAATAGCAGCAAACCATAATGCAAACAAACCTATGAGATCCATTTTTTTCCCACTCTGTGCCATTGAAATCACTCTGTGTGCAATTGAAATCACACAGCCTGCCTTTTTTTTATTAGCATGCCTTAGGTTGCCGACCAGGCCTGCACAACTTAAAATGTAAGGAGGGCCATAATACTTTATGAAAAAATTGTGCGGGCCAAAAGATAATAGGACTTGGGGGAAAGCTATTAAGAAAATAATAAAGAATAATTCATTAATTCATGGGCCGCTAGGTGCTGGCGTGCTTTCATGTTGTGCAGGCCTGATATAGACCATACATAGATCAGCACATATCTAGAATATTTACTATAGATCAGTACATAACATGACTATACACTATTGATTAGCTTATACAGACATATACTACATATCAGCACATAACTAAGCCATATACTGCAGTTGTTCAGCGCAAACGGCTATTTAAATGCATTTCTTAAACACAATAAATGAATGTTATTACTTTACTGCAGGATGATAGCTTCAATCCAAACAGCCCCGATAAGATCAAGGAGAGTATTAAAAGAGATATCGAGACTTTGAGAGTAAAACTTGAAAAGAGGGATGCAGCCTTAGGGGCTTTGGTAAGTTATTGTTGTACAAGAAGTGGGCCTTTATCCAATACTTCTAGCTTACAGTAAACAGGGTTACAAAATATCAGACTTAACTCTTTGCCTTCTCAGTTTCTCTCTGGGTGTGGACTGAGTTCAATTTCAGTGAATTAAAAAATGTAGTGCCAACAAAAAAAATGACCAATAGTAGCTGGACATCCTTGAATTTAAAAAGTTGACAGTCATGCAAATAAAGCAGTTTCTAAAATTTCCTGGTTGGCTCATGGATTTATGTATCCCATCAATCATAATTCAAAATTAAATTTAGTTAATAAAGTCAATTAAGTTGGATTTTATTGACAGGATACGTTAAAACTATTAGTTAAGGATGCTTAAGACACGCTGTTATTCATCGATACCCCATACATTTGCTTAACAGAATTTCATCGTTTTAATTTTTCTGACTAAGTAGGATTTACAACTGTTGTTAGAATCCTCTAGTTACATAAAGATCATGATTTCCATTTTATGAAATGATTGAAACTCATATTGACTTGGATATTCCCCTCTTTAACCTGATAGCTGACTAAGTGGTGTTGAATTAGGACCACTTCTAATTGATTTCTTATCATTATTTTTAATACTTTTTTTTCAATACATACTTTGATAAAAAAAATAATGTGTCAATGAATATATCCAATCTTAGAAACCACACCATTACGAGGTTATATCTGAATTTGTGTCCGACTTAGGTTCTACTCAATTATTAATAGTAGTGAGTAAAATGGGTTAGATAGCTAAGAAAATAAAAAGTTTTAACTGGTAAATTTAACTCTAACAGAATGAAAATATGTTTTTACATCCTTTAATAATTTGAAGTTGCTGGGAGAATAGTTTTCAGGTAACTTCACTTTCTTCCCTCAGAAAAGACATAACCTTAACTTATCATTGTCATGGAACAATGAGGACATCGACCTGCCGTCCACGTGGCACAGTAACCATAGACTGTCACCAGGATCACCACTTGTTGGTAAGGTGATGGCTAGATTTTTTGTGCAACTATCAAGTATGTTCTATGAACATGTTGAGAGAAATGGGACTTGTTGTTAATGTCTTGTTCATCATGCCTTGAGTTTTGGTGTAACTATTTAAATATGTTCTATGAACATGTTTAGGGAAAAGGGACTTGTTGATAACCACTGTGAAAGTAGGCTGAAATGCCCAATGATGCTAAAAGTGTGTGCATTAAAACACATCTACCTGTTGGACCAACTTTGGCCATCTTGATTATTGACACAATTAACAACTGCCCATAACATTAACTTGTTTTTTTTCACTGACAAAAATGTAATAGATGTTTCCACAACAAAACATTTTATGTTTGTATAAGATCTTATAGTATAGGCCTAAATGATAAAATTTGTGATCATATCTCTAAGTCTGAAGGGAGATAATTTCTGTTTTATTCTATTCCATAACAGGCTATTAGAAACTTTATAGAGGATATAATGTCAACTCATTTTGATCATTTTCTTGACTTTCCAGATGCCCTCAGTATAGATGTTTTCAATGGTAATCTCCCAATGTACGCCATGAAATACCCTTACACAGCATCTGTTGTGTCTTGTGAAGATGTTGATTGCTATGAGTGCAAAGCTGCTCGAATGGTGCTGCAAAACAGGTCAATATTATAAAGTCAAATAAGACTTATGCAGTTTCCAAAACTTTTTTAAATAGTGTTGTGGTTTGTACGGCATTCTTTTTTTGCACTCAATCCCAAGGTCATGTCTAAGTTGATAGATTCATTCGGGCCATATCCTTTGTGTTGTTACTGTAACACACACATTTATAAAACAGAACAATCTTATTTGGGAAAAAATAAGCTTACCTTATGATTTTTAACTGCATTATTAGATTCTGGTTCTAGGTTATAATAAAATATCAACAGGTCTTATTTAAATTTTTCAGGTACACAACATCCTGTCCATCTATTGGACCTACAGACAATGGTCAACAGGAACACATGCCCTCCAAAAAGTATTCCTTTGCCACCAATAGTAACGTCTGCAATGGCAATGATGAGCAGCACCCAGCAAGTTCAGCTCCACCAACAAAAGTATCATCAGAGTCCTGCTCTAATCCTCACAATAGGCAGAGAAGTCTTTACGGTATTCACCGGAGACAGGACTTCATTAGAAGTTCTGGGAGGTACCTCCTTGACAAACCCATCAGTTCTAATCATCAGTTTGAGGACCATTCTCACAACATGGCCCAAAGCTCAGCTGGCAGCAGATCTAAAGATTTATATCCTGTTCTAGACTCCAATGTCAACAATTCATCTTGTCCAGTTGTCAGCTGGTCATCGGACAATATATTAACTGTTGCTGACACAACTGAGTCTAATCTAAGAGCCCGGAGGTCCAGTTTCAGGAAAGCTGTAGAAAACAACCAAGACAGTGAATCTGACTCTTGTGGTACAAAACTTTATGATGTTAACACAATTTCCGAGGAACTTCGGAGGCCAAGTTTTCATGCTGCCATAGAGCATGGCAGAGGAGTCAATGCAGATGTGTCAATGAAAAGGAAAGTTGTGCAAATTAATCCACCAGAAACGTTAAAAATCAGGACTAAAACGATTAAGGATTACAGTCTGCCTTCCAATGACGATATCATGGATAGTGTCCAGCCAGACACTCCCAAGACTGTCAAGTTTCAGATTGAGGAGGATCAAGATTCGGATAGTCAAGTTTACACTGGAGCTCTGGCCTGGGGGTCAAGTGTGGCCAGGACAGAGAATGCCATTGCATTGTCATCATTATCCTTTCCTTCACTTTCATCATCCATCACATCCTCCTCTGTGTTTACATCACCACCATCACCATTTGAACCTGGTCACGGTGGCTGCAATCAAAGTTTCTCAAGGTGTGGTAACCAAAAAATTCTTTTTATAGACATTTTGTTTTTTTTGTGTTTTTTTTGTTGCTTTATTTTTGTAACCTTGCGGTCCCCTCCTCCCCCCCCTCCTTTTTTTGTTCTTCAGACATGGCTAATGGATTGATTCCACCAACTATTTAAATTTAAAAAGATAAACTTTGACTGTTATAAAGCTCAAATTTATAAAATGCACCACTGGTGTTTCCTCACAAGTATGATAAAGCATTCTTTTTGACATTTATTAAATGACTTGGTGATAAGCCTTCTTCAGTAGACAAAGTTCTTATAGATCATAGGCCTGATCAGTGGCGTAGCTAGGCAGGTGCGGGGGTGCGGACCGCACCAGGTAACACCATCCCAGGGGGTGACACCAAATTGAAAAATATTTACAGAGCACACACTGCTCGGTCAAACCGAATTTCATTAACGGTTAACCTATCACATGTAAATTTTCCACACATGTAATCAATCGAAATGCCTCCTTAATTAAAATTTCAAGGTTGATGCTTCAGAAATGACGTGACCCTATAATTAGCTCAGAAAAACACCGTTTTGATAAAGACTCAATGCCGATTGAAGTGTTTGGTAACTTTCGTAATTCACAGGAAGCTATATTTATCTAAATTTTTCGACATAAAGCTTTGAATTGACTCTAAATAAGATGCGGACTGGCAATCCTAAGGACATGAATGGAATTGATAAAAATTAAAAAACATTGCTATGATGTGGACTTTTTATAACAAGAATAAATCCATCGTGGAAGTTGGGGGTGCTACACCATGAGTTTGCCACACCGGGTGACACCAACCTTAGCAAGGCCACTGGGCCTGATGATGTAGTCATATCTGTATATGTGTTTGTATCATAGCCTGTTGATGTAGTATATAATGTATAAATGTTTAATCTAAGTATCGTCACAATAAAAAACACTGAGTAATATTGTAAATAAAAATGAAAAAAATATGACAACAGACCCCAAAACACATTGCAAATAATATAAATTTAAAAAAAACAACCCAGAACAAATAAGACCAGGCTAGTTTTATTTGAAAAATCTGTTTCAAACTATGTACATAATGCTGTCTTTGGGTAGAAAAAATAAAATATAATGCTGTTATGTGTTGTATCTAGCTTCAATAATCTGTACTACAAAATGACATATCTGTCTTTTTGTGATGCTAGATCTGCTTCTATGCAAGGCTACCACAACCTTGATGTGATCCTAGACAATGCATATTCTTATGTGTCCAAGTCAATAGAGGACTGGGATATGTCACCACAACATACAGGCAACTGCATTGACTTCTGTGGTGAATTTATGAATAGAACTGAGTAAATACATTTTAGCTGTTTGACTTTTATGTGAATTATTATTACTATAAATTAGCATTTTTTTATGAGCAAAAGATAAAATCTTTAGTTCATCATCCAAATCGGGTAGCCATTTGGGCATGCGCCCTTTGGCTGCTTGGTACCGGTACAAAGAAAGTTATTTATTTGGGCATGTGCCATTTGACTGATGGTCACAAAGACATTTGTTTGCGCATGTGTCCTTTGACCTCTTGACACAAACAAAGTCATCTATTTGGGCATGTGCCTTTGGGCAGTTTGGATCAAACAAAGTCATTTATTTTCATCAGAAATTTCATCCCCCAAAAAAGTAAACAGCACATCTACCTGAATTAAAACAGTCAAAATATAATCTTGTTAGTGAAGTCAGTAGGACTTCAGGCTTGTGAAGTGCAGCTTTTCTATACAATCCCCATTCTGGTCAATTTTGTTAAAAACTTGTTTTCCTCCAAATATGTCTTAACTAGTTTGAATTTTAAAATAAAATTTCCTGGAATTAAATCAAGGATTCTGTAACAAAAATATAAATAGAGGTTTTACCAGAGAAATATCCTGATCTTTTGTCTTCTTCATGAGTAAAATTAGACAAGTTTCCTTGTTGTATCATAGTATCATTTTGCTTACTGTAACCGGATTGTCATGTATCAAAGTGTGGGAATTACTAAAAATTTAAAAAAATAAAGTTAAGTTAGTCATCAGCTTCAAGAACAATGGGAAACAGTTTCATGTTCTATTCCTGTTTTATTTTCATTTCAGCTACGAACAGGAGACTTTGGAGTATCTCACAGGCTCATGGGAGGTAATCATCTATTTTTTATAATTGCCTCAAGTGTTCATTTAAAAGGAACCAATTTACTGATACATGCTTTCTCAACAAAACAACAAAATCCTTAAATTGTTGATAGCTCCCAAAGAACACTGTGCAATATTTTAAGATGGTGCACACTTAACAATTGTTTTTACTTGAGAGCATGTGTATAATCAACTGTGTCTCTGTACTGTACCATGAAAGAAACACTGGAGAAGATTATTTATTACATTTGTTTTTATAACATTTTCTGTTTAAAAAAATTGATCAAAGATTTTGTAGACTAACTAATTAGCACAATATTTTTAAAAAAAATAATAAAAAATCCAAATCTCACCTATTTATGAAAATTAGACAAAATAGTTCAAATGTTTTGGCCACAAGCCCTTCTTGCCCTCTCCTCACCCCCTCAGTTTCATCACTTTATTATTATTATAGCCTCAGCAATGGACGACTCCTATGACACCCAGTGGAAAAAGAAATAGCTTAAAAACACTATTAAATAGGCTACTTGAGAGTGAAAGGAAGGTTTGTTTATATTTGAACACCAACCTGTCCTGTTATAAGGTTATCAATAAACCAATCATTGTTAAATCTCCACTGTTCTAAAAAAAATAGTCATGTGTTCTAACTTTATGATATTGAAATTGTTTCCTTTTGTGGCAACTGGGTCTTGTTGGGAGTGGTTCTTTTGCTAAATCTTGCTTTTGTTCATACATTGTTTGCAGTTTATTTATTTCCAACTTAACATCTTTATTCGTATTGCATTATGTACATAATGCAATACGAATAAAGATGTTAAGTTGGAAATAAATAAACTGCAAACAATGTATGAACAAAAGCAAGATTTAGCAAAAGAACCACTCCCAACAAGACCCAGTTGCCACAAAAGGAAACAATTTCAATATCATAAAGTTAGAACACATGACTATTTTTTTTAGAACAGTGGAGATTTAACAATGATTGGTTTATTGATAACCTTATAACAGGACAGGTTGGTGTTCAAATATAAACAAACCTTCCTTTCACTCTCAAGTAGCCTATTTAATAGTGTTTTTAAGCTATTTCTTTTTCCACTGGGTGTCATAGGAGTCGTCCATTGCTGAGGCTATAATAATAATAAAGTGATGAAACTGAGGGGGTGAGGAGAGGGCAAGAAGGGCTTGTGGCCAAAACATTTGAACTATTTTGTCTAATTTTCATAAATAGGTGAGATTTGGATTTTTTATTATTTTTTTTAAAAATATTGTGCTAATTAGTTAGTCTACAAAATCTTTGATCAATTTTTTTAAACAGAAAATGTTATAAAAACAAATGTAATAAATAATCTTCTCCAGTGTTTCTTTCATGGTACAGTACAGAGACACAGTTGATTATACACATGCTCTCAAGTAAAAACAATTGTTAAGTGTGCACCATCTTAAAATATTGCACAGTGTTCTTTGGGAGCTATCAACAATTTAAGGATTTTGTTGTTTTGTTGAGAAAGCATGTATCAGTAAATTGGTTCCTTTTAAATGAACACTTGAGGCAATTATAAAAAATAGATGATTACCTCCCATGAGCCTGTGAGATACTCCAAAGTCTCCTGTTCGTAGCTGAAATGAAAATAAAACAGGAATAGAACATGAAACTGTTTCCCATTGTTCTTGAAGCTGATGACTAACTTAACTTTATTTTTTTAAATTTTTAGTAATTCCCACACTTTGATACATGACAATCCGGTTACAGTAAGCAAAATGATACTATGATACAACAAGGAAACTTGTCTAATTTTACTCATGAAGAAGACAAAAGATCAGGATATTTCTCTGGTAAAACCTCTATTTATATTTTTGTTACAGAATCCTTGATTTAATTCCAGGAAATTTTATTTTAAAATTCAAACTAGTTAAGACATATTTGGAGGAAAACAAGTTTTTAACAAAATTGACCAGAATGGGGATTGTATAGAAAAGCTGCACTTCACAAGCCTGAAGTCCTACTGACTTCACTAACAAGATTATATTTTGACTGTTTTAATTCAGGTAGATGTGCTGTTTACTTTTTTGGGGGATGAAATTTCTGATGAAAATAAATGACTTTGTTTGATCCAAACTGCCCAAAGGCACATGCCCAAATAGATGACTTTGTTTGTGTCAAGAGGTCAAAGGACACATGCGCAAACAAATGTCTTTGTGACCATCAGTCAAATGGCACATGCCCAAATAAATAACTTTCTTTGTACCGGTACCAAGCAGCCAAAGGGCGCATGCCCAAATGGCTACCCGATTTGGATGATGAACTAAAGATTTTATCTTTTGCTCATAAAAAAATGCTAATTTATAGTAATAATAATTCACATAAAAGTCAAACAGCTAAAATGTATTTACTCAGTTCTATTCATAAATTCACCACAGAAGTCAATGCAGTTGCCTGTATGTTGTGGTGACATATCCCAGTCCTCTATTGACTTGGACACATAAGAATATGCATTGTCTAGGATCACATCAAGGTTGTGGTAGCCTTGCATAGAAGCAGATCTAGCATCACAAAAAGACAGATATGTCATTTTGTAGTACAGATTATTGAAGCTAGATACAACACATAACAGCATTATATTTTATTTTTTCTACCCAAAGACAGCATTATGTACATAGTTTGAAACAGATTTTTCAAATAAAACTAGCCTGGTCTTATTTGTTCTGGGTTGTTTTTTTTAAATTTATATTATTTGCAATGTGTTTTGGGGTCTGTTGTCATATTTTTTTCATTTTTATTTACAATATTACTCAGTGTTTTTTATTGTGACGATACTTAGATTAAACATTTATACATTATATACTACATCAACAGGCTATGATACAAACACATATACAGATATGACTACATCATCAGGCCCAGTGGCCTTGCTAAGGTTGGTGTCACCCGGTGTGGCAAACTCATGGTGTAGCACCCCCAACTTCCACGATGGATTTATTCTTGTTATAAAAAGTCCACATCATAGCAATGTTTTTTAATTTTTATCAATTCCATTCATGTCCTTAGGATTGCCAGTCCGCATCTTATTTAGAGTCAATTCAAAGCTTTATGTCGAAAAATTTAGATAAATATAGCTTCCTGTGAATTACGAAAGTTACCAAACACTTCAATCGGCATTGAGTCTTTATCAAAACGGTGTTTTTCTGAGCTAATTATAGGGTCACGTCATTTCTGAAGCATCAACCTTGAAATTTTAATTAAGGAGGCATTTCGATTGATTACATGTGTGGAAAATTTACATGTGATAGGTTAACCGTTAATGAAATTCGGTTTGACCGAGCAGTGTGTGCTCTGTAAATATTTTTCAATTTGGTGTCACCCCCTGGGATGGTGTTACCTGGTGCGGTCCGCACCCCCGCACCTGCCTAGCTACGCCACTGATCAGGCCTATGATCTATAAGAACTTTGTCTACTGAAGAAGGCTTATCACCAAGTCATTTAATAAATGTCAAAAAGAATGCTTTATCATACTTGTGAGGAAACACCAGTGGTGCATTTTATAAATTTGAGCTTTATAACAGTCAAAGTTTATCTTTTTAAATTTAAATAGTTGGTGGAATCAATCCATTAGCCATGTCTGAAGAACAAAAAAAGGAGGGGGGGGAGGAGGGGACCGCAAGGTTACAAAAATAAAGCAACAAAAAAAACACAAAAAAAACAAAATGTCTATAAAAAGAATTTTTTGGTTACCACACCTTGAGAAACTTTGATTGCAGCCACCGTGACCAGGTTCAAATGGTGATGGTGGTGATGTAAACACAGAGGAGGATGTGATGGATGATGAAAGTGAAGGAAAGGATAATGATGACAATGCAATGGCATTCTCTGTCCTGGCCACACTTGACCCCCAGGCCAGAGCTCCAGTGTAAACTTGACTATCCGAATCTTGATCCTCCTCAATCTGAAACTTGACAGTCTTGGGAGTGTCTGGCTGGACACTATCCATGATATCGTCATTGGAAGGCAGACTGTAATCCTTAATCGTTTTAGTCCTGATTTTTAACGTTTCTGGTGGATTAATTTGCACAACTTTCCTTTTCATTGACACATCTGCATTGACTCCTCTGCCATGCTCTATGGCAGCATGAAAACTTGGCCTCCGAAGTTCCTCGGAAATTGTGTTAACATCATAAAGTTTTGTACCACAAGAGTCAGATTCACTGTCTTGGTTGTTTTCTACAGCTTTCCTGAAACTGGACCTCCGGGCTCTTAGATTAGACTCAGTTGTGTCAGCAACAGTTAATATATTGTCCGATGACCAGCTGACAACTGGACAAGATGAATTGTTGACATTGGAGTCTAGAACAGGATATAAATCTTTAGATCTGCTGCCAGCTGAGCTTTGGGCCATGTTGTGAGAATGGTCCTCAAACTGATGATTAGAACTGATGGGTTTGTCAAGGAGGTACCTCCCAGAACTTCTAATGAAGTCCTGTCTCCGGTGAATACCGTAAAGACTTCTCTGCCTATTGTGAGGATTAGAGCAGGACTCTGATGATACTTTTGTTGGTGGAGCTGAACTTGCTGGGTGCTGCTCATCATTGCCATTGCAGACGTTACTATTGGTGGCAAAGGAATACTTTTTGGAGGGCATGTGTTCCTGTTGACCATTGTCTGTAGGTCCAATAGATGGACAGGATGTTGTGTACCTGAAAAATTTAAATAAGACCTGTTGATATTTTATTATAACCTAGAACCAGAATCTAATAATGCAGTTAAAAATCATAAGGTAAGCTTATTTTTTCCCAAATAAGATTGTTCTGTTTTATAAATGTGTGTGTTACAGTAACAACACAAAGGATATGGCCCGAATGAATCTATCAACTTAGACATGACCTTGGGATTGAGTGCAAAAAAAGAATGCCGTACAAACCACAACACTATTTAAAAAAGTTTTGGAAACTGCATAAGTCTTATTTGACTTTATAATATTGACCTGTTTTGCAGCACCATTCGAGCAGCTTTGCACTCATAGCAATCAACATCTTCAC